AAGCTTTGCTTCTCAAGGCCACCAATGACTGATACATTGCCAGCTGATGGGTGAATACTCAGTCTTTGCTACCTCTGTTCTCTTGTGGAATCCCTGCTCCCCTTTCTCTGTCCCACTGTTCCGCTGCAACAGCTTGTGCCAACCTAACCAAGGATGGTTCATTTAAGCCAATGTGAACCATAACACACACCCTACTGAAGTTAAAACTGTTGTCCTTGGAGGAACACCTTCCCAGTGTTCAAGTTAAGCTCTCTTCTTTCTGTCTCTCTCTGGGTGAATGTACCCAGAGTCCTTGCCACTGGACAAGGTCTGAGGAGGTCCCCAAAGGGGAGACGGGAGCCTTGACTCACCCCACCCACTGATGGGCAGGCTACAGGTACACTAACTTCCCTCAAAGAAGACGATTTTCAGGATGCATGAATAATAGGCACAAAGAGACTTACTAAGCAGAATTTCATGAGCATGCACTCAAAGAAATAGAGTGTGGCTCCTCAGAAAGGAGAGGGACGTAAAGACTCCTGAGTGCACTTATGAGGATTTGGGGTGGAGATCTGTGGACCATGTGAAGCTTTGGAAAGAGGGTGTTCAATGTGTAGATGAGAGGGGCATGGGCACGACCTACTCATAGGTGGCAGCTACCACAGGTGATGCAGCAGCAATCCACCTATAAGGGAAGAGTTCATTTTACAGGCAAAAATGATGTTCTATTCACAGGTGTGAAAGAAATCTATTTAGGAACAAAAGGGAATGGCCAAGGCTTATCATGTTTTTAAGATCTCAGGAAGTTCTTAACTGAGTTTGACTCCCAAAGCCACAGTGGCTATTAAAAGTACAACTTTAAAATTACTCAAAAGAGTAATTGTCTCATTTTTACACACCTTAATTTCTTCTGTCCTAACTCACCCTCACTTTGACTATTGCCCCTAAGCTAGAGACCTTCAATCTATATCTCGGCCATGCCTCCCTTTTCCCTTGCAGACTAGCAGAACTCTGCAATCTAGAGTCCTGTTTTGTCCATAGTATGTCTACCTTCTGAGTCCTGTGCCCTTGCTGTACAGTGGACATCTGGGCTAGGTGTTGCTCTGCGCTCAGATACTCTGAGGGTGCCTGTGCTGCCATTTATCTGTTATTAGCTAATAAGAATCTTCATAAGAATGAAAGGTAATATTTTGAGTACTTACTGTGTGCCACACAATGAGAACAACAATAACAACAACAACAAAAATGCTTTCAACAAAATGCTTGTGCTTTTGAATGCCACACGAGATGGGAGCATTACAATTCCTGTTTTTACATGGATGACACGGGGCCCAGGGGGCTTCATGTAAGTTACTCTTCCTCATCTACCTCACACCTATTTTGAGACCTCCACTTTCAAACTCTGCCCTCTCTGCAGGGGGGACAAGGCTCCCTTGCTTGCAAGGCCACTCCCTATGCTTGAAGCCTGGCTGGCCCCTGTTTGGCCTACTACCCATTCAGCATGTGGCTTAGCCATTCCTTAGTTCTTTCTCTGGTACTTAGGTGCCTTAGTCTTGTGCAAGTCTTAATACACATCATGCTAAGATTCTTGCGCAGCTGGTCTGGGATGACATTTTCCCTTGGCCTAAAAGGAAAGGCTTCTTTGTGTTTGCTATGTTGGGGGCAAACTAGTGCAGCAAACACACAGATTTATGACCTGCAGCTCTGCCTGTATCCCTTAGCACTACACATGGTGAATGGTGGTTTGATGTTGGTCATGAAATTTGATGAGTTACCACAGAGGAAGGGACTGCTCACTACTCTTCTGATCAATAGGTGGCTCGGTTTACTTATGAAAATATAGCTGCTATATTGAGTATTTTGTTTCCAACCAGCTTGTATATCATGTTAAAGAATAACACATCTGAAGTACAGATAGCCAGCAAGTGGGAAGTATGTACTCCCTGCACATATGCACACACATACATACATGTAACTAGACAATTATTGTGAGTGTTCGCTTCTATGGAACAGTAGATTATAAAGTGCAGAATGCAGGAAATTGTTCTCCTCGAAGAATTAACTAACTCTCCCTCCACCTCCTGCCTTCCATATTTCTGTTCTGCCACCTTGCCCTGACCACTCACAAAGATGCTGTGAGCACCCTCTCTCTTTTGCCTCCTCCCACATGCCATGGAATGCACCCCTAGACCTGTCAGTTTGAGGTCCACAGAGTCTCTCTCCGGCAATTCTTCCAACCTCTCCTGCTCTACCACTACTATCTTGAAATACAGTTCTGACATGCAATGTCCCTGGCCAACACTCTTCCAAAACATCCCCACTGTCTACAGGACAGCATATAGCCTCACATTCCAGCTCCACCTCCAACAATTTTCTTGGGGCAATTCCCTCCCCTGTCTAGTTTTAATATCCTGGGAATGCCCATCTCTGAGCTTCTGTCTTGAGCAAGGCCCCCTCTTGCCACTAAGGGCCCAGGTCCAGGGGAAATTTTTTCCAGAAGCTCTGTGGCCCTCCTGACTGGTGCCTTGTATTAGTAGCTTCCAACACCAGCTCCCTCTCTTCCCTTAGAAAACACACCCAAGGGCCAGGACGGTCTAAGTCTGGGCTGCACATTCTTCCATCACCAAACTCAAAGCCCAGTACATGTGAGTGTGCAGCAAATACTCCTAGAATGGTGAAACAGGAATAATGTACAGCAGTGTGCCCAAATGCACAGCAACCCTACAGATGAGATTTATAAGGAAGCCTGCCATGTGATTAATCTCAGCTTGCAGGAGGAAAGTGCCCGAGCGGCTGTGGTATTCAGTCTCTCATTCAACAATGTAATCAGGGCCCGCTGGTCCTTGGCCACTAACCTTGACCCTGGAGAACACAGGCAAAGCAGACAAGCCTCTGTTTCTTAGTTCTCTAATGACAGTGCTGTGTGTGTGTGTGTGTGTGTGTGTGTGTGTGCATAAAAGACGTTTGGAATGTAAGCCTGGCCTCAATCCCTTGCTGCAATAGCCTGGTGCAAGTGAATGGCAGGTGAATAGATGGGCAGCCTTGTGCTTCTCGTGGGTGCAGGAACGGTCTGCATCAGTCTGTACCCTGTCTAGTCAACAACTCCCTGGAATGAGCCTGGAAATAGCACTTTTGGGCCTCAGGAAAAATGCAAAAACACAGGACCACTTGTATCAAAGATATTAAGAAATGGGAACCAAGAGATGGAAGGAGGGGGAAGGAGGTGAGGAAGGTGACGAAAAGAATTCAGACATGCTTTGTGCACATGCCGACTCCCCAGGAGGGAAACAATGGGCTGCAGGCTTGGCCAGTGCAAAGAAATAATTAAAAACAAACACGTCTGGAGGCTTTCAAAATCTGGTTAAATGAGAAAAAAAATAATAAGAAATTCAAGAGGGGGCAACCCACTAAAGATCCCACTTGGTTATCCAGGGGTTACTCTTCTATTATTCCCAGTAAAACTCCCCTAAGCTCCAAAATGGGGGGGGAAAAAAAGAAAGAACAAGGGAAAAAAGAAATAAAAAAGAAAGAAAGAAAGAAAGAAAGAAAAAGAAAGAAAGAAAGAAAGAAAGAAAGAAAGAAAGAAAGAAAGAAAGAAATTTGAGAGGGCGGCAGCCTGCAGAGAGGGGCCTGGGTGTGTCCCTAGCACCTCTTCTCTCTTGCACAGCTCTGCAGGGAGGCCCAGGGCCTGGGGAGCTCCCAGGTGCCCGCACACAAGTCTTCCTTGGGTACCCAGGATTCCTCTAAGTTTGGAGGACGTGCTGGAGAAGGAGACACACATTTCTGCGTGTGTGCCCATGTGCTGTGTGCATGTGTCCATGCGCCCGTGTGCAAGCGCATGTTGGCCTCCGAGCTTCGTGGAGGACACTTGCTGTAAACAAGCTCACAAAGAAATCCTCCAGAAAATCAGCAGGCAGAGAGCAGCGTTGTGAAGATGACAAAGCAGAGGCCAGCAAGCCCGCAGGGAGGGTGTGGAAAGCGCGGCTTAGATTAGTGGGGAGCAAAGAGTGTCAGAGGAGCCGCGATGCACGCAGCTCCTTCGGTAGCAACAGGTAGGGAGGCTGCTAGTATCGGTGGCTGGAGCACAGCGTGTCACTCGTCTCTGCAGCGCCTCACCCTCTGGAGGGAGCCAGGAGGTTCCGGGCCAGGACGCCTAGGTCCTGGGGTTGCTGGTACTGTTGGTACGTGCCCGCTGAAAGAGAGCACCGACCCTTCGCACTGCCCGGGGCTCCCCAGTTCTTCTCCAGTCACCTGCAGCTTTGTTATTTATTTTTTCAGAAAGATGTGGCCCCCGTCTTGGTGAGGAGTTTCCAAAGCTTCCCGCCCCGGGGTCCCTCTGACACCGGGTCCCCTCTGCCCCTGAGCTGGATGAACCTGCTACGTCGGGTTACTGCCTCCCCAGGGTTCAGAGAAAGCCCTCAGACAAAGCCTCCGCCAGTTCTTCTGTTGGGGGTCCTCCCTCCTCCTTAAAAAACCCTTGGGAAATGGGGCTGTGGACCAGCTCTGGTCAGAACTTCCTGGGGAGACTCGAGGGTCTCCCCTCCGACCCCAGCTTCCTTCGGGTGCGGGCAGGGAAGGACAGCCGAGTGTGCGGCGAGGGCGAGGGGGCAGGAGGACCATGTGCTGCCACAGGTGCTGTGCAGAGTCCTCCCGCGGGCTGCAGGGGTCTCCGTGGTGGCCAAGCGCTCGCGGCCACCCTCTCCGCCGCAGCAGCGCTCGGTCGGTCTCCTGGCCCTGCCCCGCCCCTGGCTGTCTGGCTGAGCCGCAGTGGTTGTGGCGCAGGGCGGGGGGCCTTAGCGACAGGGCTGCCTCCGCCTCCCCCTCCCGGTTGCCGCAGCGCTCTTGTCGTCTGAGATTTCCATCGAGGCTGGGGGGCGGGCCCGGGGCGGAGCGAGCGGCCCGGGGCGGGGCGAGGGGAGGAGTGAAAGTTGGGGCGCAGCAAAACCCACCACCGCGAGCTGCGAGCCGCCAGACCGCGCGCCGCGACCTCCGCGCAGGTGGTCGCCCCGGTCCCCTCCGCGATGTCGCCCAAAGTTCTCCTGATCCTTCTGAACGTACTTCTCATCATCCACTTAAGGTGAGTCCCCATCCCGGGACCCGAGGGAGCCCTGAGCTACCAGGACCCCCGCAGCCCCGCATGCCCCCATTGGCGTTCTCGCCGCGTCCCTGGCCTCACGCGTCCCTTCGACGCACGCCGGCCTCTGCCGAGCTCCCTGCGGGTTGGGCAGCCCGGGTCACCTAGGCGAAGCCGGGCAGGAAGGCTGGACCTCTGTCCCATGGTCACTCCAGTCCCGGACGCTGACCCTAAGCACTGTGGTGGTCAAGGAGCACGCGCTCCTTCCGTCGCGAAGTCTTGCGCACGGAGAGGGTAGGCGGGCACCCCAATCACCAGCCGGGGCAGGATCGCGCTCCTGGAGTCGGGGAGCCCTGGGAGAGGGGCCCCTCGAGCTGGGTTCCCCAAAGTGCGCAAAAACGTTTGTGCGTTACTTAGACCGTCTTCGTTTGCTCACGTTCCTATCGGGCAGAGCGCCCGGCAACTCTGACTTTACTTGCTGCGCATCCCGCCACAGCTCGCGGTACTGGTCCCATGCATAGCCTTGGTTTACTCTTAGGGTTCCGCGTCAGCCACCCCGCACTGTCTGCTGCAGCCACCCGACCCCTTTCCCCACTTCTTTCCTACCCGCTGGGTTTTGGGCTGCCTCGGCTGGCGGCCCAATGTTTACCTCCCTTTTCGGGTTTCTCTGGGGCAGCCGGCCTCCCTCCCACCCTCTCTTAGCCCTGGGACATTGCTAGAAAGGCTATCCTCGGAATTTCTGGCTTTTAGGATGTAAGATGACTGTTTTTTTTTTTTTTTTTTTTT